AATGAAAAATAAATTATCATTGAGTGATGATCACACAGTGCAATATAACTGTTATGAATAATAAACTATGACCAAGTTATGAATACAATTCTGGTTGTCTTTACAATACTATAACCGCCAAAATTAATATGTTTTCTACAATTTGTTAAACTAAATTAGCTAATTTTAATTATGTACAAGGGCCATTGGCAGAATTTTTTCCGATTTATTTTATTATTTTATCATTCTGAATATGATAGTATAGTTTAAATTATGTAATTTAAGTTTTTACTAAAAAGGTACCCAACTAAGAGAATGAAGATAAACTTATATTGCGTTCACGAATTCAAATAAAGGTATCATTTTATTATAATTTTTAAAACTATAATTAAGTTATGCTTCAAATTAACAATTATGGTAATAAATATAATTTTTTCAATAGTTATTAACATTATTGGAAAGAATAAATGAGAAAAAATTTGGATTTTCGTGTTATAATGTTTTTACCATAAATTATAGGCGCTGTTATGAGGTTTGTATATTGTAGTCTATTCATTAAACTAAATAATTAATTAATTATATTTAATTTAATAGATAATTGCTTTATTGATAACATTTTTTCTTAAATTTGTTCAAATGGCAATTATTGACCCAAAAATTGCCTGATTTGTTATTATTACACATTGCTTAATGTACTAAAAATATTAATTTTTAAATAATTTTAAAGGATCTAAGTTACAATATATTCCACATTCAAAATGTTTGTGTTAAATATTGAATAAATGATCATTATTTCAAATAAATTGTCATTATTTATTTAAAAAAAACTCTGAAAATAATTTTAAGTAATTATAGCAAAATTTCGCAATCTCTAGAATCTAGATCATTACTGTCTTAAAATGTAAATAATTTTTATTAATTATTATAAAATTTATTATTCTTATTGCATGACAATATTTTCATTCTTATCAAAAAAATATTATATTTCGTGTTGTGATATAATTTATAGAAGCATTCATTATCATCTTAATTAATTAATAATCTGAAGATAACATTAATAAAAATTACTAAATAAATTATAGTAAAATTACAATTCAAATGATATTATAAAAATTGAATATAAAAATTGAATATTGAAATTCTTGAATATAAAATAAGGACTCTTATTTATTTTAATGCTGTAGTTTCGAGATAAATTAACATGCTTTTATGCTAATAAAACCGAGAGCAGTTGATGAAATACATATAATAATTTCAAATTGTTCATGCATATCAATCTAAATATTTATTTTAACATTATTGACATATTATTTTTAAATACATTGACTAATTAAGACTTTATAATATAACATTAAAAATATTTAAAGTGGAAAGGGCATTTCAGCTAAATGTGTCAAATCAATAACCAATTGTTGAAGATTTTGCTGTCTGAGTGCAGCTGAGGGTAAATTACCGATTGCTTGATTCAATTTGGGGAACTCAGCGCTTAAAAAACTCTTGATCTATAAATTAACAAAAAAAATAATTAATTTAATTCCATATTAAATGTCAATTTTATAAAAATGTACCTTATCCAAATACGCGACATAAATGGGATGGTTGGGCTCAAGTCCTCTACCCTTAGAACTCTCGACAGCGGCCAACACACGGCTCTCCAGTGCTGTCAAACGATTGATAAGAGTTAACTCATTGCCGGCCAACGCCAAAGGCTTAACGGCCCGGAGTTCAGTCAACCGTTCGCACATGTATTCAAAATCATAGAACTGCGCGACCCATATGGTAGTCAATGTGTGTTTCAGCGCGAATGGGGTAACTTTATCTAACTCGGCAAATAACCATGGCATAATTGGTTTGAAAGCCTGGATTGAATCTTGGTAGAATTGCGCCACAACGGTCAGACCCTTAGCTCGGTCCTGTTGCATAGCTGCCTGTAAATAAGCTTGCACAGTTGCGCCCGTACTGTATGCGTCTGCCATAATGTCGTTTACAATGATCTGCTCATTGAATGCATCCGGAAAGTCATTAAAGTCCGCCGACACTAGTTTGGGACACATGTGTTAAAACGAGAGAGAAAGAGAGAGAGAGAGAGAGAGAGAGAGAGAGAGAGAGAGAGAGAGAGAGAGAGAGAGAGAGA